GATCATTATTATTATCACGATCACGTCCTCCGCGTCCTCTATGACTTGAGTTCGCACCTCTTGCACGGTTACGGTTGCCACCTCCACTTCCACTTCCACTTTTATTACGATCACGGTTAGAGCCGGAATTTTGATTTCCCTTTCTGGTCATGTTATCACGAAGAAATGTATCTTTCTTACTAAGAAATTATCCTAAAAATACTTTATTACCTAGCAAAAAAGTGGATTTTCTTGATAGCAAGAAAATGAAACTTAAAAAAAAAAAAAGGATAATTCTTCCATAACTAATTATACTTTCGATGCTGTTACACGTATGTCGATTTTTTAAGCCTAAAAACAGGTGCATATGCATAAGTGCAACATCATGATTTGTTGAATATTGCATGAAAAAAAAAGCTGTCATTCTTACCATTCTGGTGAACAATAACGTTTCAAATGAGAGGCGCAGTGTTTAAGAAAAACAGGGATTCCTTTCCAGCATGACAAAAACGATGCTACAACAATTAGATTTATAATAATGGGGGCGATAGCCACATTCTCAGATCGGCAGAACTGCGCCTAATATATTGACCCGTCACAATTTATTATTATGAATGCAATTCTGTATATTTCGACCAGAATTAACCCATTTTACCTCTAATTTTCGGAGTGAATTCTTATGCTTTTCGTGACAACTCGTTTTTATTCATGTCTTTAACAATAAGATATCGGATTAGATCTTATTTATTAACGGATGAAAAACATAAAAAAAAATTTGCGAGGCGCATGTGGTGAAATAGTATTGAAAATCACATACTGTATAATATATATATTGTTCTATGTCCGCAGCAGGAATAAAATAGGTTGGATCGGATTTTGTCTTAATAATTTATCAAATACTAACTAATTATGGAACATCCATCCATGATGTAATAAAAATTTAGGAAATTGATAAAATGTTGTTGGAAATGAAGATAAAATGGGAAATTATACAAAACTTTTAAAAAAAATCTTGCATATCTATTAATGCATTGTCTACTATTGAAGAACAAGGAATAAGTTAATAATAATGACAATAGAATTATAAGAATGAGAAGCGAAAGGAAAGTATTAAAAAAAGAAAGAAAAGAAAGGTATAAGTAAGGTAACAACGAGAATTAAATCATTTGCATCACTAAATTCTAGCCAGAATTATGAATTTGACTTTAATTTAGCTGAAAATAAAGCTCATTATTTCTGTAACTGTACATAAAAATATTATAGAAATTTAATTAAAATAATATCAAATATTCAATAAAATGTAAAATTAATGTTTAATTAATAAAATTATAGAAAATAAAATTATAAATATATGATTATAAAATTATAAAATTTAATTTTTAAAAAAATACATTTTAACAAATAATAATATAAACAATAAAAGTTAAAATTATTTATAACTGATTAAGTTTAATTAGAAATCTTTATTAAATTAAGAAAATATTTATTTATAATAAAAATATTTTCTAAAATATTTTTAATGTCTAATAAGAAATACAGTTAACCTACTATATAGTCATACTCTTAAGACTAAAAAATTTTGGTGTAATTATAAAAGTTATATAATGTGATTATAGAAAAAATATTTTTAATAAGTTTATTATTAACTTTAGCCTAACAACATATGCTAATAAAATAAGTGATTATATAAGAAGTCGACTGTATAAAAGGATAATAAATAACATTTTAAATATAAAAAATTTCTAAATTATCAAACTCTTTAATGATAAATTTCAATTTAAACTATATATCTAATTCTAATTTGATATTATACATAAAAGATAAAATCACTTAATAATAATTAAAACTCAAGTAAATTAATAATAAAATAATAATTATAGATATAATAAATCTAATATAATAAAACTAACATATTATATTTTATATAATTTTATTAATTTAACTTTTTTTTAAAAAGATTTTTATAAGTATTTATATATTATAATAACTTTTATAATAAGTTTATATATTTAATATAATTTTTTATATTAAAATATTTTTAAAAATTTAAATAAATAATAGAATAAATTTAAATAGTGCATTTAATATTATAAAATAAAACTTATAGATATTTAAGTTATTTAAGTAAAAAAGAATAAATTTAGCAAAATTTTATTAAAACCTTATTAAAAAATATGTAAAATTTAGACAAAGGTAAATTATATCTAAACTATATAATAATATAATTATATTAAAACCTTAGTAAAAAATTAGTAAAACCAAAGATTTAGATATTTTACTAAATCTAAAATAAATTTAAATAGACAATTTTAACTATTAATATATGACAAATAGGTTTTTACACTCTAAAAATATTAAGTTATCAAATTATATAAAACTAATATGTATAAAGCAATATGATAGTTTATTCATATAAATTATATACTTGAAAGTATAATAAATATCATTTAATTTTTCTTAAATAATATTATAAATTATGATTTAAATTAATTTAATTATTTAACTATTAAATAAAATTTATATTTTTTTAAATTAAATTTATATTTAAAATATTAATTTTATTTGTATTATAAAGAATAATAATAGGATTAAAATTATTTAATTATAAAAAATATAATATACATAGATAATAATTAATAAAAAATGAAAATCAAAATCTTCTTTTATTAATCTACTTAATTGATTACTATTATATATTTAAAATTAACTTAAGAATTAAAATTAATAAAAATTTTAGATTTTCTTCTTTTATACTAATACTTTCCTATATATATATAAGATTCTTAGTAAAATAAAAGGTTTAGAAAATTGTCTAAATAATAAAAGTCAATAAAACTTTATTAATATCTTATTAAGAATTATATAAAATTTAAAAAAATTAAATTTATATTATAATTTATAAAAGTGATAAATTTTATTAAAATATTTAAACAAATTATTTTATATATTTATATTAAATTAAATTATATTTATATTTATATAAAAATAATATAAATAAAAAAAAATAAGAGAAATATTAATTATATATTAATATATAGTCAACTCTTTTTACAATGAATTTTGATATAACGAATTTTACAATATAATAGATTTTTAGTGTTAGACAGATTTTTAAATATAAAAAAACCTTTACTATACTGAATTTAATTAAAAATTCATATTACATTTAATGAATTAAAGTCAGAAAAATTTATATATAAAATAACTCTTTTTATAATAAATTTTCTTTATAACGAATTTTTTTTTGATACAATAAAGTTTTGCTTAAAATAAATTTTACTAGATTTATGTATATAAAATTTTATAGTTCTCTATACTTAGTTTTTAAATAAAATTAAAAAATGAATAAATATTTATGTTATGCATTGTGTCTTATATTTTATTTTTTTTATATATTTTATTTTTTACGCATTTTTTTTTTTGTATAATGCCAATAATGCCAAAAGTAAACTCAAAGAAACAACTTAATCAACTTACTAACAAATAAGATAAATCTTTAAAAAAAATGAAAGTCTCTCACAGCTGCACAAAAAAAGAACTTTGTTTAAAAAAAATATCATCACCTTTTTTAAAACAAAAAGACTTAGCTAATAAATATGACGTTAGTAAAGGTATGGTGAGTGACATTTTAAAGAAAAAAGACTGTTGGCTTTCTGTGAATACTAATTTATACTAAGCCAATTTGAAATGTGATAAGAAAACTCTATTTCATCTTATTGAAGAAGTGTTAGTAATATAGGTAAATAATATATTTAAAGCTAGTCTTATTATTACTAAAGATATTCTTTCAATAAAAGCCTTGAGTTTTGCTTCTTTATTAAAGGAGAATAAGTTTAAAGGGTCTAATGATTAGGTAGATAACTTTAAAAAATGACATATCTTAAATAGTACTATATACATAGAGAAGTCGTAAATATATCACTCAAAGATCTCGAAACAATAAGAGAAAATCTTTAGCAAATATTAAAAAAATATAGTCCTGAAGATATATTTAATTATTATAAAACAGAACTGTTTTAAAACTATGTTGAATGATATTTAACAAATAAACATTAGAAAAGAAATAATTAAAGGATTATGTAATAATCTTACTCATATACAATATAACAGGAAGTGAAAAGCTGATACTTTTGTTTATACACAAGTATGAAAATCCTAGGGTTATTAAAAATATTGATAAAAAAATGCTTCCAGTTAAATACTATTAGAACTAAAAAGTTAGATACAGGTTTCAATCTAAAATAATTATATAAAAAAACTCGATACAAAAATAAGAAGACAAAATCAGAAAATTATTTTTCTTATGGATAATTCTCTAATACTCTTTATGAAACCACCTGCCTGACTAATATTACTATTCAATCCCTTCTCCAAAATACTACTGCACACCTTCAACCTTGTGATCAAGATATCATAATAGTTTTAAGGTGAGAAATGTAATTAATTTAATAATTTTTTAGTTAAAATATAATTAATATTAACTTTATATTTATACTTAATTCTAATTAAACTTATTTTAGGCATAATATCAAAGCTTTATTTACAAAATCAGACTAAAGCTTTGATAAATTTAATGAATACTGTATCAAATCCTCATAAATTAATATTTAAAGTATATAATATATTTTACACAAGTATAAGATAATATTACAAATTAAACAATTGAAAATTGTTGGATGAAAACAGATATTTTACCTAAAGATAATCATGAAAATGAAGATGAAATTAGTAATGATATATTATTTAAACTTAAATAGTTAAAGGAAATAGAAGAAGTTCAAGTATTATTCGATAAACTAGATTTTGAAATTCTTTTTTTGCTGAAGAATTTGTCAAATATGATAAGTCTGAAATTATAGATAAAATGATATTTGATAAAGAAATTTTAAAAGCAGTTTTACTTGATCAAGAAGACAAAAGAGAGGAAGATTCTTTATTACTAATAATTACTTTTGAGAAAGTTATTAAGGCTTATAATAAAATAACTTTATATTTGAAGCAGCAAGAAAAATCTTTGATATAAAAAAGAAAGAGTTATGGTCTATTAAAAAGCTTAGAAAAGAAGCTTTAAAATAACAGTTACTCTCTTCAAAATAAACTAATCTTAATAAATTTATTACTATAATAGAATAGTAATTTAGAGAGTTATACAATAATGTTTACAGTTTTTTA